TCCCGGCGTTACCATCTGATGGAAGAAAAACAATAGTGGTATTTGATAATGCACCTTACCATTCAGTAAAACTAATAGTTGTTACCGGGCCAACATTTGGAGGCCTGATTAGTGCGATCATTAGGTTAAGGAATTAGATAAGTTGTTTTATTCAAATAATATTTAAGCATGTCCGAGATCCGCGGCACCGCGGTCCGAGATCCGCGGCACTGCGGTCCGCTAATCGGAGCGCGGCTGCGACAGCAGTCGCATATAAAGATACGTAAAATTAGAGCAATAGGCAGTTGAGTTGTGGGTTTCAAGGAAGTCTGTTGACGTCAGTGCTCGCCCCGGCGGCTAAACGGCCAGACAACCCCAATAAACCGTGCCTTCTTTTTCATCGAGGCTTTTATTCACGAAAAACCCCGTGCTCAGTTTTTTGCCGTAGCAAACAAAGCACCCACACCGGTTCTTTTCAGAACCCCATCACCCAAGGCCACTCCGACACCCTGGAAAAAAGTCGGCGTACCGACGCGGGTTAAGGACCGGACGCGTCCTCGCTGGAACCGCGAGCTCGCGACGACCCGGTCCCGTAACACATTGGCGCCCAACGTGGGGCTCTTTTCTGACAAAGCTGTCAGGGGGGCTCATTCGACTACAAGGAGACCAGGCTCCGAAAAAAGAAAAAACGACTTGGCCAGCACGATGCCGCCCCAAGTCCACATTGTAGACTTCTTTCCGGCCAACTTCCATGGAGGTCAGCGCCGTGAAGACGAACACAAGGCGACCGCCACTCTGAAGACGACTTCCACCAGACACCTGGTGCCGCCACTCCAGGTGGTGGAGCCGTCGCACACATTCGAGACAACGCAGCCACTCCCGTCCAGCAGCCGCTCTGAGGGTCCAGCGGCACCCAAGACTTCCTGCGGGGCTGAAGGCCTCGTCGGACCGCCACCGCCCCAGATCTGCGACTTGCCCGGCTTGAGTGGCGATTTTTCGCTAATTTTCCAAGGCCTAATGGAACGTTTCTACCAACAGATGTCAGCCGCCACCACCGCTGCAGCCCCTGCGGCCATGACCACCTCGTTCCTGCCGATGCCGACCTTCCAACCGGAGGACTTCCTTCTGACGTTCGGGGGCGAACCTGAGGAGGACCCGGAGCTCTTCATAGAGAGTTTGGAGGCCTACTTCCTCGAGGTCGGGCCGATGAGTCACCGCCACCAGGTGCTCGCGGCGCACCGTCAACTGCGAGGAGTCGCAGCCAGGCGTAACAAACATTACGCCCGCCAAGACGCCTGCATCGCGGACCTGTGGAGGCGTTTTCGAAGCGAATTCGGCACGGAGAACAACTTCTCCGAACTGGTGGCCGTATTTACGTCAAGTTTATACAACAGGCAAGAAGATATTGACGTCTACGTCACCCGGCAGCTGCAGCTATACCGCCGCCTGTTTCCCGACGGCCCAGAACAACGCCTGATTCAACAACTAATCAGGCAAATGCCAGTTTCAATCCGCGCTGCTCTTGCTGTCCGCAAGTACGACAGCGTCGAGGAATTTTGTCGGACGACTCGGAGAGTCCTCGACATCTCCGCCGACGACGGAACCGAGCCGGTAGAGAACTGGCATCCACCTAGGGGAGCTTCACCACCGAGACGGCCCCCACCACCTGGGGTACCCGTTCCTCAATTTCCACCCGACATTTACGCCGCTCCGATGCTCCTACCAGAGCACATGAGAGTGGCGAATCAGCAGCTAGAGCCAGAGGCAGAAGTAGATCCACCGGCCACGCCGTCCAGAGAACTTCACCTCCAGGCCGGTCCAACGCTCCAACCGGAGTCCGAGGCTGAGGCAGATCAGCAGGCAGTTTCACCTGCGGAACCTCGCCTCCAGGTCCAGTGCGGTGTTCCCGCCGAACCGACACCCACGACAGAGGCAGATCAGCGGGCGGTTCCACCTGCGGAACCTCGCCTCCAGGTCCAGTGCGGTGTCCCCGCCGAACCGACACCCACGACAGAGGAAGATCAGCAGGCGGTTCCACCTGCGGAACCTCTCCTCCAGGTCCAGTGCGGCGTTCCCGCCGAACCGACACCCACGACAGAGGCAGACCAGCAGGTTGTCCCACCTGCGGAACCTCTACACCAGGTCCGACCCAGTAACTATGTGACCACAGCAACGATCTCGCTCCAGGACGTGGTCAAGTCGGCGCAGATCACAGATCCGGAAGTCGCGGACATGATATGCCGACTTCGACGCATCACCAGAGAGGGGCCTGAGGCGAGAGGCGACGTCGGATTTGCGAAGAACTACGTAGTCGACGGCGGCATACTATGGCGACGAGGTGACCAACGACGCCTGTACGTGCCGGACATCGCCCGTCCAGCGGTATTCCGCGCTTTTCACGACTCCGTGGACGCCGGACATCCCGCGCCAGAAAAAACCGTCCGCGTCATCGCGCGGCACTACGCCTGGCCGTCGATGGACGACGACGTTCGGCGACTCGTTAACACGTGCCGCACATGTGCGGGCACAATGGATGGTCCTCACAAGCAGAAGGGTCCACCACGCACCTACCTTCCAAATAGAGAACGACCCCAACTAGCGACACCGTCCCAGAACAGGCATCAGGATGTCGTCCAAACCCAGCGAGCGAGCTGGTCAGGTGATGGACACGGAGCTGGGGTGGAATAAAAAAACATTCCGCTCCGATGACGCACTTTGACGGTCCCACCGCACCAAAGTCAGGCCTTCGGAAGAGGGGAGAGTGTTACCGGGCCAACATTTGGAGGTCTGATTAGTGCGATCATTAGGTTAAGGAATTAGATAAGTTGTTTTATTCAAATAATATTTAAGCATGTCCGAGATCCGCGGCACCGCGGTCCGAGATCCGCGGCACTGCGGTCCGCTAATCGGAGCGCGGCTGCGACAGCAGTCGCATATAAAGATACGTAAAATTAGAGCAATAGGCAGTTGAGTTGTGGGTTTCAAGGAAGTCTGTTGTCGTCAGTGCTCGCCCCGGCGGCTAAACGGCCAGACAACCCCAATAAACCGTGCCTTCTTTTTCATCGAGGCTTTTATTCACGAAAAACCCCGTGCTCAGTTTTTTGCCGTAGCAAACAAAGCACCCACACCGGTTCTTTCCAGAACCCCATCACCCAAGGCCACTCCGACACCCTGGAACAAAGTCGGCGTACCGACGCGGGTTAAGGACCGGACGCTTCCTCGCTGGAACCGCGAGCTCGCGACGACCCGGTCCCGTAACATAGTTAAAACTGAGCTGATGGCTGATGAAATACCTTATTACTCAACGAGGAAGGATTTCCAAAATCCTTTATCGTATTATAGACGTCTACCTTTAATATGCCCAATCAAAATGACATACTACAGATGTTAAAAACATTAACACCACCGAACTGCCCGTTTCAATCGACCCGAATTTGGAGTCGCCAGACAAAAAGGAAAAAAACTCGTGTCTATGCACAGTGGTCTAGCAACCCCGAAACTGAGCCCAAAATGTCATTTTTAAATGTTTTTAATAATATAAAATACAGTAATATAGCTATTTTTGCGAAATGGTGGTGTTTTACGCAATAGACGTGAAATTTGTCCAACGAGCCCCTAGGGCGAGTTCAGACAACACGTCATGTGCGTAATACCCATTTCGCACGTGTAGCAAACAAGATTTTTTCTACAATCGCAACAAAATTTAAAAATAAACATTTCAAGTGGCATTTCTCACAATTAATTAAAAATTGACATTTTTGACTTGTAAATATTTAGATTTTTATTGATACAACTTCAAGTAAGCCACTAGTAACAAATGAAGCATGTTGGTTGTTTAGTAAGAAATTGTTTATCAACAAAAAAAATTGTGCCTATTTTAGTGTTAATGCAGTTTAATGTATTATTCGATCAAAGAAGTAAGGAAACGTTATAAAATTGTGTCTATAATTATAAAAACATCAGCATGAGTGATTCCGTAATCTCGTCCGACGTCGAACAAGCACCCGAAGCCGCTCTAACAACAGTAATTCCTGAAAAGTCCAAACAAGTATACGAAACAACTTACAATAAGTTTAACAAATGGTGTGATCAGAAAAAAAGTGCACTTCATTTTAGAAAAAGTAATTCTGGCATATTTTTCCGAAATATCCTTAACTCTAAAAGCGTCAACTTTATGGAGTAACTACTCAATGCTTCGAACTACAATTTGCGCGAATAAAAATATCGACATTAGTAAATGCATGTTATGATATCAGCATAAGTCCACAACGGACAATCATTCTGCAGACTCATATCCTGCCACGTGCAAGATGCGCTTTCACACTTGCATCAATATCAACATGAGAACTCCAATTCTGCAGTTTTCCTCCTTATAAAAGGATCAGAATAATTCATTTTTCAGTTCAGAAACATCCGCCATCCGCGTAGCTAAGTTCCGAAGCATCCGTCATCCGCGTAGTTTAGAAGCCCGTCATAATCGCGCTCTCCTAATAAGTTGTAATTATTTAAGTGAATAATTGTGAACAATCAATATAAAAATAATCCAATAATTAATAATCAAGTGTAATAACAATAATTGTGAATAAAAGAAAAGTTCTTTTTAAAAACAAGTTTATTAAACCAATAAACTTAACTGGCGCAGTCGGTAGGATCGTGTTAAGAAACAAAAATCGTTCGAGACCGATTCCGAAAAAGAATCATCTCAACCGCGAACATCTCGGACAAGCATCGCCGAAACTTCGCATCATCTCCGCATCGCCTTCACACCGCAGAATTTCGGACAAGTATCGCCGAATTCCCCACAATCGCCACAGGACTCCTGGACAAGAATCGCCAGACTCCTACTTTGTTTAAAGAAAAGAAAAATGCAAATACACTTCGCACTGACGTTAATGTAAGTAAAAACTCGTTCCTTTCTCAATCAAATCCCTTGCATGAACGATTTCATTGAGGATCTCGTACAATTAATTGAACGGTTGTTCGTTGAAACCAAAGACAATCAAAACAATCAAAATCAAAAAATGGCGGAAGTTCATTCATCGTTTTTGGACATCATTCCCAAATACGCTGGAGAAGCATCAGAATTCGCTGACTTTCTTTCTGCTTGCGAATTAATCGTCACACAATTTCAAGACGCAGCAAATCCACAAGCATTCATAAACAAATTCCTATTATTATTATTATCCTCGATCTTGACTTAGAGCGACACTTGCTGCTTTAGCATCAATTTTAGGGAGGCATTGGCAAAAATGCATTGCCGCCCTAAAACGATTTATTTCTTGCCATACAGAGGCATAATGGCACTAACGTGGCACGAAAATTTTCATTCTATAGATGGCGCTTGGATGTTCTCACCGAGCTTATTTATATTTTAATGTACCTATTGTCTATAAGAGGGCGTCTTAAGTAGAACAACGTATTTCCACATTCCGAGTTAGGGCTTAGAAAACACAAAGTGCACCTAATTCACTTTTAATTATGTTTTCTTAATTCAAGTCATAGCCAATAAATATATAGATTGAATAACTTCATTTATTAAATTGGAATAAAAATAAAATAGACCTTATTTATTACAAGGTAACTAACAAGCAATCTATACTGAAATGTGTCTACTTTTTATTTTATAAGAATTTGTGGATTTGATGTCATCATTTGACCAGGCACGTAACCAAGGGGGGGCCTGGGGGGACACAGGCCACCCCAACAAAACCCTGTGCCACCCCTGGTGCCCCCTTAAATTAATTTTATATTTTAAAAGTAAGCAAATTCGAAATTTCAGATCAACAGTAAATTTTAGATGTGAATAATCTTATGTTCTTATCTTGTAATATAACTCTCTGAGTAAAGCGATACTGCTGTGAACAGTTTTGGTTTGGTCGATAACTTTTTTAAGCAATTAGCCGATACAGCAGATATGCCTTTTACACACTATGCAGATTGACACGTAGGCTTTTGATATTTTGTGGTGTTAGTTTTCCGGAGTCTTTTGTCCCGTGTCGTTCAACTGTGTCTGTTAAAAATGTCAGAAAAAAAAACGAACCCTTTCAGATTATTTCACCGCATTTAAAAAACTGAAACCTGGTGAACAGACTGCTAGTGATAGTGCAGAAACTATTTGTGAAACTGCAAGTAGTGATCCAGGACCTAGTAAAATAGACGAAACTTTAGAAGAAAGTGATGAGAGTTTTGAAAATCTGCAGTCAACGGATAGTGAATCACTTTCAGAAGCTGATTCTGAAACGGAAGATTGCGAAGCAAAATTTGAGAGCTGGATAAAATCTCGACAAAATCCGGAATTAAAACTCTCGAGTAGATCACATGTGCCAGGGCCTTTAGATTTGTCGCAGACGAAAGTGGATGAACCAAAACAACCTGTTTTACAGTTCTACCCAAAAACAAAATTTTTAAATAAGTTTCGTCAGTTCAATAAAGCCTGGTACAATACCTTTTCGTGGGTAGAATATAGTGTCAGTGCCGATAGTGTATATTGTTTTGCGTGCAGACATTTCTCACCTCATGCATCAGATCAAAATTCAAATGTGGCATTTATCAGTGTGGGTTTTAAAAACTGGAAAAAAGCAATGGACCAAACAAGTGGGTTGAAACTGCATAATTCAAGTTCTGACCACAAAAGCTGCATGATCAAGTGGAGTTCTTTTAAACAAATTAAAGCATCTGGAGAAGGATCAGTTGCGGGACAGTTAAGTGAAGCTCATTTGAATTTAGTGAAAGAGAACAGACTGTATGTAAGTATCGTTGTGGATGTTATACTTTATACAGCAATGCAATGTATTGCCCAAAGAGGATCCAAAGAAAATTCAGCGAGTAGTAACCGAGGAAATTTTCTGGAACTGTTATCATTGTTTGCAAAGTATAATGATGTCGTAAAAAAGAAGTTGAATGAAGAGGGTCACAAAAATTCAAAATATACTAGCCCGAAAATCCAGAACGAAATTTTATTTATTATTTCACGAATGACGTTGGAAAAAATTTCTACGGAAATTAACAAAGCGTCATGTTTTGCCGTAATATGTGACGAAACAAAGGATATTAGCAAAACCGAGCGGGTGTCGGTTGTACTTCGATATTATTTGGATGGTACCGTTTACGAAAGATTTATTGGATTCCACGCGGCCCAAGAGTTGAATGCAAATTCCTTATTTTCTTATATTAAAAATTTGTTGCAACGGTGTTCTGTAGACATCAAGAGGTGTGTTGCCCAAACCTATGATGGTGCCAACGTAATGAGTGGTCGTGTGGGTGGTGTGCAAAAATTATTTACTGATGAGGTCGAACAAGCCATCTACGTGCACTGCTACAGTCATAGATTAAATCTGGTAGTAGTTGATATCTGTCGCAATTTGACTACGGCAAATTTGTTTTTTGGTTTGATAGAAAATTTGTATGTATTTGTGTCTGGTTCTGCAATACATGCACAATTTATTAATATACAGAAAGAACTCCGTCCAAACAAAAAACCGATTGAACTCAAAAAAATATGTTACACAAGGTGGACGGCTCAAGTTTTCGCTTGCTTATCTTTAAAAAAGGTGTTTTTTCACTAGCAGCCTGGACGCATGATAATGTCGACTCATTTAGTGGTAGCAAATTCAACTTTTACTACCACGGGTTCAAAAAGAAAAATTGAGGTTATGTACGCAATGTTTGATGTGATTATTTCTTAAAAAATGAACAAATGTGTGCTACAAACATTACTTGAGTATACGCATGGTAGTTGGTAGACGGTAGAAGATAAAATGATTAACTCAGCGACAAGTATAAACGGTTTTCTTTGTGTTGAAGATTTAGATTAAGTTTGATTAGAAATCAAAACAAAATCATGTTGCGTCAAAAAATTGAACGTTTATTTTTCAGTTTATTGTCTTATGGTTTGTACTAGTGAAAAAAATAGTATATTAACCACGGTTGCAAAGCCACTTCTAGACCTCGCACTTAGAGCCCTCGACGCTGCGCGTCTCGGGTTCTAATTTGCGCTCGGTCTAGAATGCTTGGCTCTGCAACCTTGGCTAATAATATACTATTTCTGAACTGTTGATTTTGTTAAATAAATTAAGTGTCAGTAAAAGTGCTCGGTCAGCAGAAGCTCTTGGACTTCTACATCAGCTGGACTATACTTTCATATTTAATTTATGCATGTATAGTCAATTGTTGTCTATTTTCAAAAATGCCAGCGATTATCTACAAAAAGTCACATCAAATCTTTCAGAAGCAAACATTTTAATAACTTCTATTTACGACACAATAATGAAGATGAGAACTGATGACAAAAATGAAACCTTTATGGAAATATTTTCTGAAACAGAGAAAATATGTGCTGACAACAACATACCAATAGAAGCAACAGCAAGAAGAAGAAAAATGCCAAAGAAATATATGTCATACTTGGTCACTGAAGAACTAAATAATTTGGAACGCAGTGAAATATTTAATAGAGAAGACTATTTACACAAAATATTTTATCCCGTTCTGGACTTAATTACAAATGAATTACAGAATCGTTTCGAAAAGAATTCACCAATTGTCAACGCATGCGACGCCTTACATCCCGAGAATCCCTCATTTTTAAACTACGACAAATTATTACCCATGGCACAACATTACCACAGTGAACTCGAAATTTTACAAGCGAAACTTAAAATCATTCCAAATACAATTAAACAATATCAAATAAAAACAAAAGTGAATATTAAAAATATTATGGATTTTATAGACATGCTACAAAAGTACGATCTTGTGTTTCCCGAGATATTAAAATTAGGTGTCATTGGTGTAACAATTCCAGTTTCTAGTGCAGCATGTGAAAGGACTTTTTCGTGTTTGCGGCGTCTTAAAACTTATTTGCGAAATAAAATGTCGGATGAAAGACTTGTTCACCTGGCAATTATCAACATTGAACGAGAAACAGCTAAATCGTTGGACACCTCAAAAATTGTCGATGAATTTGATGCAGCTCATAAAAACCGTCGCATAATTCTACATTAACAACCCATCTCATTCCTGGTAAGATTTTATTAATTTTATCTTGACTACTAGCGAAGTTTTTTTTAACTACTTTTTGAATTGTTGGCATATCATAATGAATACTATATGTATTTCTAGTACATATACATACCTATATACAAAAAGCAAACATATCCGTACAGTAAAGTCACTAACGCATTAACGTGAAAATCTTGATTATTCTACCTCTCAATATTAAAAGTAAATACCTGTCAATTTCAACTATTTGCACCCCATTAAATTTATATACTGGTTGTGATCCAAGTAAAATGTTGATTTATACTAATGAAGACTTTTTTTAAAGGCCCCCTTATTTGAAATTTGTGCCCGGGCTGGGCCCCTCCAAAATAAAAGGCTGGTTACGTGCCTGCATTTGACATAATGTAATCTTTCGACCTTGACAGGTCGCCGCTTCATGGTTTTGAAGAAATTCATAGTTTAGCCAGAGAGCATAGAGAAGCGTCATAGTTTAAATTAAATGTCGGTTGAGGACTCCGCAATTTATGCTGGCAGCAGTGTTTGGTTTTAACTAGGAATAAAATTAACTAGAACAAATGTCACAATATTTTTAACGACGCGTTTTACTTTCAACAAATTGACACTAGATTTACCAGAATATTACAAGCTGCTTAGTTTCCTTCATTTTCATTCAACTCATGAATTACAATTATAGTGAAACAAGGTTTTTATTGGCATCGACTATTTAAATTTGGCGCTTGCCTTTGGCGGTTGAGGACTGCAATGTCAATAAGGGTGGTTTTGCAAAATCAGCCTGTATGTCGCATCTATATTAATCTATGGTTTAGCTGCTGTATGTTTGCGGATGTGGCGTGCAGTAATTGTTTCATTTTCTATCATTTATTTTTAGTTTTATAAAATTCAATAAACGTAAATATGTATGGATAACATTTTGAAGACATTTAAATGGTTGTTCATTAGGTCCCAATTCTTCCATATAATTTGCAATTTATCGGATAAAGGAATGAACATTAATTTTATAATTTAAACAAATGTATTTTTCCTTTAAATTAACGTGAGCTCAAAAACATTTGACAAGTTATTTGTGTTGTTGCCTCCTTAGATCATATAATAAATAGATACCACCACGCCGTGTTCTTTCCCTAGAAGAGCCTGTGACGACATCCTCCTGTCACATATCTCTCTTGTGCATGGAGGGATTACAACGAAGCTATCCTTGCCTGATCACTATTTGAATTTTGCGCGCCTAAATTTGAGGAAGTATGTCTGAACTAACTTCGTACGAAAGATGTTGACAGCTTGATTTTATAAATAATTCACAGTAGATAACGAAAGGAATAGTAAATTATTGGGCAGCAATTGTGATCCTTTATGATTACATCACTTAAAATAGGATCTTTGGTCTAAATTCTAAAATTGTTTTTCGTACAAGAACACGAAAGAGAGGTTAGAAGAAATCTGTCAAAAGCGATTTGTTGCGCTGGTGCCGTAAAAGGATGGAAGTGAAATAGACATATATAGATGAAATACATATAACAAAGATGAAGATGTGGTGATGACACAAGGATAGCATTATACTACTTCGCTTGACGTAGAAAACGACAACAGATAGCTTCATGTCTAGTCACAGCTTTCAGTTTGAGTATTGGTATCTATTTATTATATGATCTAAGGTTGCCTCATGTTATTTTTTTATGGCATGATATGAAAAATTACAAGTCATTTAAACATTTAAGACAATGTATCACATAATTTCTTTTCGTTAATTGATTCATTATCAATATAAAATTTTGCTTAGAATGAGTGGGGAATTACGGTAAAATCATGTATTAAACAACGACAAAAAATTTAACGACCATTTCTAAATTTTAATTAAAAAAAATATTACGGACCATTTCAACGTGTAGTTGGACATGTTTTACCGTCCACTCGCTTATATCTCCTGAGCAAACGCGCTTGGAATTCGAAACACAGGCAACCTGACGTAATTTTTTTATGAGGCGTTACTCTTAAAGTGCAGAAAAAAACAAGACCTAGAAAAAGTTTAAATAAAAAAGTTTAAAAAAGTATATACAATCTTAAATTTTCCAGTGTTATAACTCCACTTTGATTACAAATATAAGTATACTACTTATGGGCCATTCTCAGTTCGTAGAAAAAAAATGTGATTTGTCCTTTCTTACCGAATTTTTTAAATGAATGATTACATTGCATGCTTGAATTTATAAATAACATGTATTCTTCAAAATCCATACTTAATTTCATGTCAAAATTTAATAATCACTGAGATATTAATTCTAAAAACTCAATTTGTTATTCGACATGGCATGTGATATTGAAATTAGTTTAACTGAATTAATGTTTTCTGTCTCAGATTGCACAGATTTTTTTTTGATTTGGGATTCACAATATTCTTTGTTATATAAAAGAAAGATTGACACACAATTTTGTTAAGCTTCATTATCACTATTTTAAGTCGTGTGAATTTTGTGATATATTTTGCTCAAGAATTGCAATGATAGTGGAATTTCATTGCTGCTTAGTGAGATTTTGCAAATGAACATTTGAAACTCTGTGCCATGATTGTAGAAAATATGAAATTTATTATAATATAGTGGGTATGTCTATGACTTCAAAATGAAGATACGAGGGTTGTCCGGCGGAAATTGAGCCTCGTCTAGAAGATGGGTGTTTAAAAAAAAAACTTCGACTGTATGTATACACACATAATGTTAGTAGTTGATGTCTCAAATTTGGTTATGATTGATGTAACGGTTATTGAGAAAACGTAAAACAAACCACAACATATCTAGTGAAACGCTGTCTTTTTGGAAATTGGAATATCGTGCTGTGATAAAATACCTTGTAAAAAAAGGTAAATGTGCCAAAGAAATTAATGAAGAATTATTGGCCACTTATCCACAATGTGCTCCATCATATGCAACAGTCAAAAGGTGGACTCGACTGTTCAAAGAAAGACGAAAGTTAATTAAAGATGATGAACACCCAGGGCCCTCTTGCACTGTCGTTACCGACGAAAATATCAAAAAAGTAGAACAATTAGTTGTCGAAGACCGTTGAATTCGAGTTCGTCAGATAGCAGAGGAATTGAAGATTAGTAAAGATAGTGTTGGACAAATTCTTCGTAATCATTTGTTAATGAGCAAGGGGAGCGCGCGTTGGGTACCCAAAATGCCAATGCCGTTAGATCGGGAACGGAGAGTGGAAAGTTCTCATGATTTTCTTCATTTATGTGAGAATGATTTGGATGCGATTTGTCATCGTTTGTAACCGGTGATGAAACATGGATTTATCAGTACGATCCAGAATCCAAACAAGAGTCTATGCAATGGATAAAAAAGGGAAAAAAGCCACCGCGCAAGTTTAAGGTTCAAAGGATGGCAACCAAACTTATGGAAACGATATTCTGGGATAGTGCAGGAATACTTCTGGTGGATTACCTTCCAAGAGGAAGAACGATGAACAGTCAATATTATGCTGACTTAATAATCAAACTGCGACAAGCTATTATTGAAAAACGCAGGAGCAAACTTAGCCGAGGAAT